GGCAAGGAATGCAAGTGAACTTTCAATTTCTGGAAGGCCGCCTCAGCATCCGGCCCCCATTCAAACCTTGCCTTTTTCTTAATTGCCTGGAAAAAGTATAGGCATTTGTCGCCTGATCGGCTTAGAAATCTTCCCAAGGCCGCCAGACAACCTGTTAACTTCTGAACCTCTCGGATAGTACGAGGCGACTGCATGTCGATGACCGCCTGCACCTTCTCAGGGTTCGCCTCTTTCGAAGTTATATGGTTATAGGTTTCAATTCAATAGATGAAAAAATAACATTTATGTATGAAAAGGAATCAATATTTAAAAAGTACTTGTTACCAAAACCATTTACGACGCTTCTTTTAAGGGATTCGTTTCCTGTTCCTTTTATGAAAGAATGGTATATATACGTTAAAAGTAACGGAGGGTGTGAAATAAGACATCGATTGAATGATCCAATGATCCACATTCAGAAGTCGTCATATAAACCAATTCGAACTAAAAAAAGAGTCCCTTATTCGTGGGAGTCTAAAGATCAAAAAGAATAAGGGCTAGCAGTATGGCAGAGAGTTGGAATTAATTCGAATGATAAGATCTCAAACAATAATCTGATTGATAAGGAATCCGAGAAAATTTCCCAGACTCAACTCCAAAGACACATTTCTTGGGATTGAGCATGACATGGTGCCGCCTGAGTGTGGCGAAAGTTTCTCGGAGGTCTGACAGATGATCTTTCTGAAGTTTAGACTTGACAATCATATCATCAATATATGCCTCGACATTTCTCCCAATCTGATCAAAGAACACAGTGTTTATCATTCGCTGGAAAGTGGCCGGGGCATTCTTAAGACCAAACGGCATGACCGTGTAACAGTATAACCCCTGATCAGTGACGAAGGCCGTCTTCTCCTGATCTTTCTTCCATAAAGGAATTTGATGGAAACTAGAGTAGGCGTCCATAAAGCTCATCAAAGCATGGCCGGCTGTTGAGTCGACCAGGTTATCAATTTTAGGCAGAGGGTAACTGTCTTTGGGGCACACCTTGTTTAAGTCTGTGTAGTCTACACACATTCGCCAGGTGCCATTCGGCTTTTTAACAAGCACCACATTTGCAACCCAGTCTGGGAAGTAACATTGCCGAATGAACCCTGCATCAAGTAATTTTTTAACTTCGGCGGCTGCCGCCTGACTTCTTTCTTCGCCATGGTTCCGCTTCTTTTGCCGTACCGGCTTCTTTTTCGGATCCACGGCCAGTTTATGTACCGCCAGATCAGGACTAATGCCTGGCATTTCATGGACTTCGAATGCAAAGATGTCCTTGTATTCTTTCAATAGTTTGTGAAAGTCGTCACCCAGGTCCCTTAGAGCAGTCGTCCCAACCTTGATTGTTCTGTCAGGACGCGAGTCATCTAACATCAGGTCCGTATGCTCACCAGCTGGCTGAGGGCGGAATTCATCCGACCGCTCCTCTGCCAATGATTGCTATTTTCTGTCTTTTCTTGCGGCCCCTGTCTGGGATGCCTTTCTCTTCTTGCCGCCTGCTTCTTGGACAGGCGCACTCTCCTTGACATTGTCAAGGTCTATTTTTCCACCACTCGACCCAGTGGCCATAACAGTGGGCTTGACATCCGAGAGATAGCACTCTCGGGCCATCCTCTGATCTCCCCTTAGGGACCCGACTGTTCCATTATCCCTCTCAAACTTGAGCAACATAAGAGATGGGATTATAACAGCCTTGGAATTATTCAGGGTTGGTCGTCCCAGAATCATGTTGTAGGCCGAGAGTTCTTCTACTACCAGGAACCGGACTACCATGTGTCGTCCTTCCCCTTTTTCGCCCAGGCGGATGGGTAAATCCACTCGTCCCACTGGGTGGACTCCTCCTCCTCCAAACCCTACTAAAGGGTGGGATGCCGGATGTATGCAATCAGTCTGATATTTTAGTTTCGACAGACATTTGCTACTGATGAGATCTGAGGAGCTTCCGGTATCTATGAGGATTCGGCCAACTCTCTGGTTGGCCACTTTACATTCAATAACGATAGGGTCGTCATGCGGCCCTCTTACCCCTCCTAGATCTTCTTCAGTAATGACAATCTCAGGAAATGAATATTTGGAGGGTCGTTCTTGGTGAACGAAATTTACATCTAACCGTCTGATGTTGTCTTTGTTGCCCCTAATAGTGGGGCCGCCTCCTGAGAAGTCGCCTGCAATGGTGTAGACGACTGCATCATCTGTATCGGAGCTGTCGGCCTGTTGATTCTTTTTGGTCGACTGCTTTTTCGAGGAAGTGTTCCCCGTAGATTTCTTGACATAAGTGTCAAGATCACCTTGCTCAGCCAGGCGGTCCAGATACCGCATGAGACTGATGCATTCATTGGTGTGATGACCAACATCTTCATGATAATCACAGAATTTTTCTTGGTTTCGATTGTTTACAGAACCCTTCATGGGGACCGGCTTCTCAATTGAGATCCGTCCCTTGATTTCCTTTAGGATAAATTGGCTATCCTTGTTAAACACATACTTTGGGGAGTATGGTTTGAATTCTTTTTTCTTCTTCTGGGACGGCTGTTTAGAGGAATCAGTTGCCCAGACCTCTTTTCTCTTCTCGTCTTTGTTTGACGACTGCTTCTGTCGTCCTTCTCTTTTGTCGGACCTTTTCCCGTCTGACTGCTTTACCGTACTACAAAGATCAGTCGCCTGTATATAGGCTTCCGCTTCAATCAAGGCCTCTTGAAGAGTCGCCACCCTCTTTCGGACCAAATCAAATTTGAAGGTCGACCCGTCTTTGAGACCTCTGAAAAAGTCAGTATAGGCTACTTCATCCGGTAACCCTTGAATCTGTATTCTCATCAGGTTAAACCGCCTGATGTAAGAACGAAGCCCCTCCTCACCCTGCTGAATTGTTCCTAAATCAAGGGTCGTCTTCTTCGCAGGGATGTTCATGGCGAAGTTGGAGGTGAATAAGTAAGCAAGCGTCTTGAAGTTATTTACACAACCAGTCGGCAGGTTGCCGAACCATTGTTGTGCGATTCCTTTGAGAGTCGCTGGGAAACACTTGCACCAAGTGGGATCATCCAACCCTTGAAGGTACATCAGGATGGTCTTCTGGGTTAGTAGTGCCGTCATAGGCGCCTACTAATACATTTTTCACTTTGGCCGGCTGAGCGGCTTCAGTAATTTCCTTGGAGAAGGCCGACGGCTGTGCACCAAGTCTAAGCAACCGTAGCTGCCAGTCCATAGGTTGGACATTTTTTGCTGCATGTCCATCAAACGGAGGTGGCTGTAAAAAATATTGTTGTTGCGGTACAAACGGTAAGTTTGGTACCGACTGGTCGCTATGAAAGCCGGACTGACGGGAGGTGCCGCCTGACTGACTCTCATGATACGACTGAGTATGCCTCATCGAGGTATTTCGCAGACTGTCTTGGAAGTTTGAAGTAGAGGCCGACTCTGACAATCGGTCACTCTTCTTCTGCTCTAGCAGTAGCCGAGCATCTATGTATGTTTTCCTCGACCCGTCCGCCTGAATATGACGAACAGGTTTCCTATTTCCTGGAGTAGGAAAACGGTATTTTGTGAAATCAAGGGCAGGTGGCTCCCACTTCCTAGATTTAGGATGAGGGGTCGCCTCTCGCCCTTGAACTGGCTTCCTCTTCCGTGAAGTGGAGGGTTTCTTAGCCGACTGCTCCTTGACCAGAGCAGGCGGCTTCTTGTTGATCAACTCTTGAATTTCTCCCTTGAAGTCCCTCATGAAGGTCATAAGTTCGTTCCTTGTGATGGGAGCAGACCCATCAGTCGGCTGCTGCCGAACAGGCGGTGCGCCTGCTGGCTCGCTTCCAGTTTGAAGATGTTCCCGTTCCCTCCTTTCGGTATGACGGGTACGTCGGGCCCTTAGGGTCCCGTCTGAAGCTGTGTGAGCTTCAACTTCAAATTCATTCTCAGTATCGTGGTCCGACTGAACTAGAGGGTCGTCTAGGGGACGTCTCTCTTCAGGAGCCGGTACAAACGTGGATGCCATCTCAGAAGTACTCTCCCCACAGACGGCGCCAAATGTTTCGGGGTTTTCTAATGTCTTGCGGGAGAGTTACAATTCCGAGACTGGAACCGGACGCCTGTACCTGCAAAACAAACGGATGCTCCGAATGATTGGAGATCCGCCTCCGACGGTCAAGTTAGTACTTGATTAAGGAGTAATTAATGCGGAAATTAAAGTGATTGGGTCTCTCTAGGTGAGAGTGTTTAATGTGTGTAATATGCGTTTTTTTTGCGTCCCCCCCTTAATGAGGATTAAGGGAGGTATTTATAACCTCGGGAAACGTGCCAATCTAGGTTTAGGTTAACCTTGGGCTGATTGGGCTTCCCTCGGAAGTTGGGCCTAGGTGACCGGTTATCCCAGGTGTCATGGGAAGGACACGTGTCGTGTCGTAATTGGTCCATAGTGGACGGATCATTGCTTGACACGTGGCAGGCTCCTATTGGCCCATGTGACGGACACATGGCGGAACCTGATTGGTCCACTTGTCAGATGGTGATTGGTGGGGAGAAATCCCCTAATCAATACTTATGTATTGTTGTGTCACTCAGAATTTACATGTAAAGTAGATGTATATATAGGTCTGATATTTGAAATTGAATTAGCAAGGCAGCAAGCAAATTGGGCAGAAGTTTATTCTTTTCATAGTTCATACTTATGTATTGTTCTCACTCAGACTCGCATACCCATGTCAGACACGTACATGTACATGAGTCAAAATCAGCAATTGAAGTATTGAACAAGAAATTCCACAATTTTGTTCTAGAATAAAGTGGCAGAGGTGTAGGGAATCTGACGTGAGTACTTTAGCCCTTTAGGTGAAATGAAAAGTCCCAGTAATAGACTAGAATAGTAGAATTGCAATAGCTCAGTGAGTAAACTGGCTAGATAAAATGGAATAAAACTAAAATCATCAATCCTAATTGCAACACAGATACTAATATAAAAAATTAAAGAGGTCCAAAATGAAGCAAACCTCAACACTGAATCCACCCTGGCCCTCAGAATCAGTTGTAGACAAGCCTTGTCTTCGAAACAAGCTGTTAATTCCACCATTCTCAAGAAGTTGTTCAGAGTGAGTAAGAGTAACACCAAAGAGCTCATCATAGTTTTCAAAATTTAAGTCAACCTCGTCCATGTCCAGGTCTGCAAGTGGGTCGTCTTCACAAATCCTTGGAACTCTATTAGTAGAGTTAAACAACTGCACACAAGTTTGAGAGAAAAAAAAAAAAGTCACATGCAATCCAGGCAATAAACAGCCCAGAAAATTGAAAACAACAAAGTGATTGAAATGCAACTAGTAAGAATCTGATCCAAAAAACTTAGGACTCTAACCATATAATATAAAAGAAAATTGAAGGGGGGACTGGGGAGGGGGAAGTTTAATTGAAGGACACTAACCTCCCTAGGTTGAGACAGCATTTTGAATTGTAGTCAACAAAAAAAGCTTTACCAATGACAATGACAATGACAGTTGGATTATTTCATTTTCAGATTTTCAAAGTGCCAATGTGATATTTCATACATCATATATGATTTAAGCAAAGCTCAATTTTCAAAAAATTAAGAGTGATTATTAGCTTCATGACTCTAATCTTGATTCTCCAAGCGGTAACTAGTGAAACATGTGTTCATTGTTTGGGAAAAAGAATGGCAATTTTAACAATCAAGATAAGTTCTAGCAATAATGATATAGATTTTCCTAAATATCAGATATTGTTAGCTTCTGCTGGGAGCATGGGACTATACCAGTGCCAGTGAATTCATTATATTACTAGCAGCGTGTAATGTGCTGTTTGTTTGAATAGATCACTCTCCCAGAAGACTTTGATACCAGAATTCTAAAATTTCTTGTTTTGATTCATCGACATCATCACATTATTAACTACAAGATTCTTGGAAAATTTTGAACCAGATAAAGCTGTTGCTGCATGTTTTTTCTGTCCAAATTTCTAATTAAAAGATCAGGAGTTATGGTTACCTTAGAGGATTCTGCACGTTCATGTTGGTCAGGACATTCACGTGAAACAAATTCGGTAATAGATGCAGGTCCATACCAAACACTAGATTTATTAATATTTTGCAGATCATTCCCAGCCACCACATCCATTGCATCTTGGCCATCGTCTTCACCCACAGGATCCAAGTTATTCTTTGCACCGCTTTCAGATATACTCAATAAACCTATTCCCTCTGGACATGTAGAATTGTCTGATGAAGGGAGAGGATCCAAGATAAATGACCAGATTTTGGAGAGCTCTGCTGCTGATGGGCATCCAGAATAATAACTTATACTTTGTTGTTTATGTAATGAAGAGGTTGTAGACCCATCATGTCCAACCATAAAACAATTCTGGCAAAGAGAGGCTCCTTCATCAATACATCTAACATAAGCAGGTTGAACATTACATCTTTCACAAACAAGGGTCCGAGAATGGCGCTTTGAAAGGGCATTTGCAGAATGAACATTCCGATCACAGGACAAGCACAAAAAAGCAGCATCAGACCGACAATACACCATTGATCTTTGCTCCCCACAATAATCACATATGTACCCCATGGTATCTCCTCTCAAGTTCAATTGATTAATCCAGTTCTCAGCCAAATTTGTGAGCTATGATTTATTCTCTCAGAGAAATTGTGATAGTGAAAAACTTGTTTATAACCTAACAAAATCACACAAAAAATTAAAAAATGAATGAATAAATTCATCAGCAATCAAAATCCTATTTCAATGCATCAAAGTTCCATATAAATGGTCAAAAGGAACAAACTAAACACCTGTTCAAAAAAAAAAAAAAAAAACCAAAAAAAAAGTTGACATAAATTTCGTTACATCCAAAATAACAACTTGACTCCAAAACAACAATCCCCACCCAAATAAAAACAAACCAACAACAGAAATTGAGGAAATCAGAAAATCATGTTTAAAAAATCAGCAACAGAAATTCAACAAGTTCCAGAAATTATAATTTGAACTCAGCAACGTGTACTCAGATAAATCAGAAATTATGTAAGAAATACAGCAACAGGAAACTCATAAAACAAAGATGAGCAACACATACCCAACAACAGGTACTCGGAAAGCAAAGCTAGGCAACAAGTACCCAGCAACAGGTACTCGAAATGTAAAGCCGGGTTACAAGTACCCAGTAACAGGTACATGGAAAGTAAGCCTGGCAGCAAGTACCCAACACAGGTACTCAGGCAACTAAAGTTAGGCAACAAGCACCCAACAACAGGTACTCGGAAAGTAACAAGAACCCAACAACAGGTTCTCGGAAAGTAAAGCTAGGCAACAAGTACACAGCAACAGGTACTCGGAATGTAAATCTGGGTTACAAGTACCCAACAACAGGTACTCAGGGAACTAAAGTTAGGCAACAAGTACCCAACAACAAGTACTCGGAAAGAACAAGTACCCAACAACAGGTACTCGGAAAGTAAAGCCGGGTTACAAGTAACCAATAACAAGTACATCCGTACATGGAGAATACAGCCCGGCAACGAGTAACAGACTAACAGGAACTCAGGAAAGTAAAGTCCGGCAACAACTACCCAACAACACATGTTCCGAAAGTAAAGTCCGGCAACAAGTAGTCAGAAAGTACAAATTTTAATCAAAAAGACACACTATTTAAGCATCTCCTGAATTTGAGCAATATAATTGTCTTAATTTTGCCATAAAAAGTATGAACTAAAAAGTTAAAAATCTAACATACACTTTCTCAGCTTTACAAAATCCTCCTGTAAACCAATATCAAATTCCTAAAATTGAACAAAAACAACTTTATCGTACAACATATTCCAATTAATAGCTCAATTTAATCTCTAACTTTGGAAATGATCGGATTAATTAACATCACAAAACAAACAAAAAAAATTACATAAACTTAAACTTCCACAAATTAACAACAACAAACAATTAAAAAAAATCAAGTACTGAAATTTGCAAAATTCAGAACATTATCAAGAGAATCAAATTACAGAAAAAAATAAATAAATAAAATAATAATAAAAAAAAATAAAAATAAAAAAAAAAAAAACAACAACAACAACAACAAATTATCAAAAAAATGAAAGAAATTACCAGGAATCTGGGAAGAAACATTAAAGCACCAACAAATCTGTTCGATTGAAAATATCTCCAAAAAATAATTTTTTTTTTAAAAAAATTGAAATACCAAAAAATACCAAAAAGACGACTCGAGAGGCTATATATCTCCTCTCTATCTGTTGTTGTGGGTCAGACGTCAGAGAGCAGCTCAAGTTAATAATAATATTAAAATAAATGAAAAAGGAAAAGAATTAAATAATAAAAAAAAGGTGGACCAATAAAGAAAAAACAAATAGAAAAAAAGAAATGTAAAATAAAAATGGGTGGGGAAGAATATCTGACATAAAGTGATAAAAAGTGCAATAAAAAGGGGGCCTACTTGGGTTCATGCGACAAATAAAAGGGTTAGTAGTTAGGACCCAACCCCTAGTGTGATGAATTACTGCTTCAATTTTTGGATACCCCATTTTATTTATTTTTTGATCTTTGGTAAAAGATCTACATACACGTGGGTTTCACTTAATTGGTATCGTAAATTAATACTTCCTCCGTTTTTTGAGTTAAGTACAAATATAGTCCCTAAATTATTGTATTCATTTATTTTTGGTTCCTTAATTACTGTTTCGGGTGTAAACAATAAGTTCTTCAGATGGACTTTATAAGTGGGCTGAAGACTAGATTTGGTCCAAGTGATAATTGGGACAAGGGTTTCCTGCACAGAAAACAAACGTAAACTGGTCTCGGGGGTGGTGCCGAGGAAGGTCCCACCGATGCTGAAATTAGTACAATGTTTCTTAGAGAGAAAATACTATGCAAGAGTGTTAAATGCTTGAGGCTTAATGTGGAAATACCTTGGAGGTGGAAAGTGTTAAGGCTTTTATACCTTGCATAAGAGATGCGCAAATTATAAGATCATCATGGTGCATCTAGTTCTATGTGAACCACCAGTAAATATACTCTATCTTCTCTCTCCTCCTCTACTCTCCTAATTTTTTATTTATCTCTCTTTTATTTTCTCTCTCTTTTATTTTTCTCTTTATTTAATTTTTTTCTCTCTTGAATTCGTTCATCATTCTTTTAATTGTATTCCTTCATCACCATTGTTGATCTCTATAGATTGAATTCCTTCATTACTATAGATTAAATTCAAATTTTGTTTTCTTCAACCTTCGATTTGAAGCTTTGTTAAAGGAATTTCCACAATGAAGTGAAGCTAAAAATGGTGGCTTCGTCGAGGAGAATGTGGTTAAGACGATGGAGATGATTATTTTTCGATGAGATTTCATTATCTAAATCACCATGGCTAGGTTTGAGTTTTGGAATATGTAGCTTTCATATTCTTTTGATTTTTTTTAGTCATATTTGTGTATTTTGGTATGAGCAGTTCTGTATTTCACTACTAGAAACAGGCCGATTTCCGACGGACCATTTCCGACGGACATGTTTTTCGTCGGAAATTTACGACGGAATTTTGTTCAGTCGGAAATTTACGACGGATTTCCTACGGAATAAAAATCCGTTGAAATTTATGGGCCTTCCGACGGATTATTTCGTCGGAACCGTAATGTTTCGACAGAAATAAAATCCGTCGGAGATTTCCGACGGAATATTCCGTCGAAACAATTATTTTCCGGCGGAAAATACATCTGTCAGAAATTTCCGACGGAATATAATAAAATAATAATAATAAAAAAAAACTAACCCTAAAAACCTTAAAAAAAACCCGGTTCTCCTCCCCCCCCCTTTTATTTCCCATTTCTCTCTCCTCTCCTCATCTGCCCGCCTCCATCTCTTCTCCTCTCTCTCTCTCTCTCCTCATTTCTCTTCTCCTTCCTCCTGCTCCTTTTCTCTTCTCTCTTTTCATTCTTTTTCTTTTCCTCCTCCTTCTTTTCTCTTCTCTCTCCGCATCCCTCACCGGCCATAGCACCGGCCTATCACTGAGCATAGCAACACGTATTTTCTCTCTCCTCTTCTCTCTCAAGCCCATCACTGGCCATAGCAACACCGAGTAACCACCGTCGCGAGGCACTGCACCAGTCTCAAGGTTTTTTTCTTTTTTTTTTAGATCTTGTAATTTAGGTATGGAATTGTAATATTAGTTTATAAAATTTATGATAAAATTGTATATTAATATATTTCTTTAAATTTTCGTTTGTTAATTATCGTTTTTGTTAATTTTTTTTATTGAAATTTTGATTAATATGTAGATCTGGTTTTTTTTTTTTTTTGTGGTAAAATTTTATTATGTTGTATTAATTTTCATATTTTTGGGGTTAATTTTCTGTTTTTTGGGGTTAATTTCGGCCTTTTTTGGGGTTAATGTTCAAAAAAAATTTTGTGGTAAAACGGCCTTTTCTGTCGGAATTCCATCGGAAATGGCCTGTTTTCTAGTAGTGTTTGATTATATTTTAGTATTTTGAACATTTTAAGTTCAAAATATGAACGTATGATACGTTTCCTGTAAATATATATTTTTACCGACATGTATTTTTGGAATTATGAACATCGTTATTGTAATTCTGAACATGTGATACATTACTTATGAACTTTTTTTTTCTCTCTCTTTTGTTTTAGATCTATGTATTTTTAATTTTATTAAAAAAATTTGGCATTCTCTACTTTATAATTTATATATCTGAACATTTGATTATTTTCATATGAAAATTAATTTTGTTTTCGATTTATGTATTTTTAAAACCTTTAAGTTAGTAATTATAAACTTATAATGTTAGATATTTGAACATGTATATGTTTTTTTATGAACATTTAAGTTATTCAACATATGAACATAAGTTAGTTTGGGTTAAGGAATTATGAACCTTAGTTGGTATTGGATATATAAAAAGAACATTTAGTATATTCCAAATGAATATTTTGTACATTATAATGAACATAAAAGAATTTATAATGAATTAAAATGATCTATTTTTTGTTAATAATTATATAAATAATGTTTTAAACTATAGTTTCTGAAAATGAACATATAAAATATGAACATGACACTATCAGAATTTGAACATATAATTTTTGAAAATAAACATTGATATTTTTAAAAATAATCATTACACTATTTTATAATGAGCATCAATAAATATGAATATGACAATACTCAAATTTGAACATATATATTTATTATTTGAAAATGAACATTGAAATTTTAAATATGATCACAACACTATTTTATAATGAACATCAATTTTATGAAAGAAGTTTGTCTGACTCGGGAATTCAATAGTTTTGTAATATAAACTGAGCATTTAGTGCATATAAAATGAACATTTCTTTATAAAATATGAACATATAAAATTGAATGTTTTTGTTCATTTTTTGTGACGTGTTCATATTTTTTTACTAAATGTTCATTTTTGTAAATTGTTCATATTTTTTTAGTAAATGTTCATATTATATAATTTGGTGCACCTAGAAATAGGTGCACTATGGTGCATGTAATAACTATTGTAAGAGATGGATAATGGTCTCTTTGGTCACATGGGCTTGCCACATGGAGTGGCTGCTTTAGTTGATTTATGGCATGCTATTTGGAGAGTTGAACCTTGAGGATATTTAAATCATTTATGAGCCGATCCAATTAGGCTAAATTGGACCTAAACAACTTGCCCCCTCGGACTTGGCTCATAAGTTTGACAAGGGTTTTGACTTACAATTTGGAGGGAAATAAATGATTTAATTAAATTCAATTTTTAGAGTTGTTAGGATGCTAACGTCCGTTTTGACATTTAAGTAGGAATATGGAGAGTTTAGTGGGTAGTTAATTTGAGAGGTAATTGGAAAGATGGAGTATTGAAGTGGAGTAAGTGGGGTTTTGAGGTGCGGACTCCCAGAATTCTCTAAGTTGGCAGGTATATACACCGCACATCCTATTCTCTCTTCTCATTTCAATTTTTTGCTAATCTTTACTCGATCGTTTCTTGTTAAACCGTCCCTTTTCACTCTCTTCCTTTTTTGCTTGTGCTCGGCTGTCCGCAGTTGGAAATTGAAATTCGCTGCTCAGAAGTTGCAGATCGGAAAATTCCGGATCTGAACAAGGTAATTTTTCGCATAAATTTTCCTGTATTTTCTTCATTTTTCGAGCTTTCCCCTTTTAACTCCACCGTCGAGGGACCCCGATATGGCCGGCGACAAGAGGAAGAAGAGGGTTGAGTCTGTCCCGGAGGAAGAGGAGGAGGAGGTGCCGCAACTGATACAACGGCGGAATCGTCCTCTAGCGATGATGCCTACCCACAGCAACCAAAAACCAGGTTTGCCGGAGGCTATGGTTGTTGCCAGTTCGAGCAATCCCGCCTTAAACGTTATTCCGCTCAGATCTCTTCCACCCAGGGCTTCGGATTAGGCTAATACTTATTGCGGAGATGAGGCTTCTTAATCTAGGTCGCTGCTCCCGAAGGAAATAGAGTGGCTAGACGAAGATAAGAACAATGGTCACTACAAGAAAAAAATTTATTTGCTGCGTTTCTCGCAATTCGCTGCTAATTAAAGTGTGTTTTCACTTCTTTTTAATAAAAAATATTAATTAGCAGGGGTTAATCATTTAAACCACTGCAAATCAATCCTATCTTCCTTAACCCCTAACCCTCATTCCTTACCCGCTGCAAATGTGGAGGTTGTCAAATAAAACAATTTTGATTCGACAAGATAACACCCAGAGAAGTGTACCCGACGGTGTAAGATACGCGTTTCTAACTCCTTTGTTTGTAAAACTGACTTTATTCTGCAGGTATCGGCGTTAAAAAGGATGATTTAGGATCGCAGAACAATCTGAATTATTCTCCGTCCTTATCGATCTACTTTGACTTTTGTTCTCGAAACTTACGTTTCTCCAAACTCAGTCAAATTGGGGGCTTCTGCAGACACCTGATTGTGTCTCCCCAAAATCCAAACCTAGTGATGAGTACCTTTCATGTCTTTGATTATCTAGTAGGTGAAGAGTTGAAGAGTCTCGTGAAATGTTTCCTAAAATGTTTTAATTCAAAATCATTCATTTCGTGCCTTTAAACCCAAAATCATTCATTTCGTGTTATTTTCATAGAAACATCCAAACCAGTCTATTTTGGTCCATGATCTTGGTCCAATGATTGTATAGTTGGATAGGGTATGAAAGCAGCTTTCCAACGATATATTATAAGCCCAAATCTGACTTAAAACGAATAAGTTATGACTAAAATACAAAATTGAGCCCAAACCGAGCCTTACCTGCGACCCAATGATCATGTGCAGGGTCCAT